AGTGTGTACCTGTATTCGGATTAGCCCGTGGGCCTCCTGTGGCACTAGAGTAACCAACCCTAGAGTGCATGCCTGCATGGTTGCTGCAATCTGTTTTTTCGCATCAAATAGTCCAGGGTTCATCGCATCAGTTCCTGCCAAGCCTGAGTGTTTGTGTGTGTGTGTGTGTCTGTCTGTCTGTCTGTCTGTCTGTCTGAGTGTGTGAGTGTGTGTGTGGGAATGCTGAGGCTGTTTTTCATCCCGAGCATTGGGTTGGCACCATCGCAACTAAGCTGCACGCAAAATTTGAGTGACATGTCGATGTCAGCAAGTGGCTCTAAAGTTCGAATCGCAGTTGCGCCTTGTTGTCTGTGATTGTTGCGTGGTTGAAATCTTGTTGACGGCTTGAGGTGGTGCTCGTTCCTGGACAACATCACCGAGGACTTATGATAGCTTGCAAGTGGATACTATGGCTCTTGCCGAAGCGCTGCAGGAATTGGAAGAGAGCAAGCAGAAGACTATTTTCGAGGACAGTGCACATGGCCCCTTGTTTCGTGTCCAGAGCGCTGCGCCGCTGCGTTTTGCTGCCAGGATTTTCAGTTCGTTACCAAAGATCAGCTTGAACAGCTTGGTGCGACTGAGCCTCCTGGCAGTGGCTGATGTTTCAGTAGTCTGGTGGAGTGGGTGGACTTCACAGATTCGAGTTGCGATGTGAGGTTGGTTGGCACCAAATATCTCCAGCCCTACATGCATGGCTTCTTTATGGACAGAGCCGTGTGCTTGCTGTAAACAAATTGCCATGATGCTGCATATGCTGTGAGGACTACCGGCTTCACGCCAAGCTAAAAGCCGCCCTGGATCCTTTTGCCTTCGAGGAGTATCGCAAGCAGAAGGCAGAGATGGATTAGCGATATGAATTTACCCCAGAATGTCAGACATGTCTCGACCAAGCTTACACCAACTGCCGACGGCCGTTAGACTATTGAAAGTGCACTTGCTGATGGTCGAGGTCAAAGAACGGCTGGAAGCGAAGCGAACCATGCGAACACGCATCAGGAACAACAAGGCCATCCAAAAGGATTGTGCGAATGGTTACAGCAGCAGCGCGGACTCGAGAAAAGTTCGGCATATGCAGACACATCCGCAGGTAGACGTCAATCCCAGCTTCCACGAACAGTTGCAGCTCACAGCAGAGGAAGGCCTGCAAGGGATCAGATTTCTGAAGTTGCTGCGGACCTTTCACTGTCGAATCGCTCCGAGTGCAACTTCATAAAGTGGCTGAAAGGCTCTGGAGTTGGGGCATCGAAGAAACGGAAGGAGGCTTCCCAGACTCTCAATCGGATGCCGGCCCCACCAGTGCAGACCACGAGGCTGCAGACAAAGCAAAGCGGATTCTGCAAGATCAGCGATTCCAGGCAAGACTGCAGCATTGTTCTGGCTCGCTTGTTGCCGAGTTCCCTTCTTGACCTGAGGCCTTGTTTGCAGATCCGGACTTCACCATTGAGGCACCTACTTCTGTGAGCACCTGTCTTGAACCAAATCATGATGGAAGAGAGTAGATAGAAGCTTCCGAGCACCTGCACGAGGACAGTGGCCAGCACAGCAAGGTGTGGTTGACGTGCTCAGACATTTCGTAAAGAGGTTGCATTTGCTGTGGCCGTTTACCTGGACAGGCTGATGGAGCACCACTGCTACCAAAAAGGATCAAGAAGCAGGCAGCTTTGATCTCTTGTCATGCTGTCGTCCTGGACGGCCAGCACGTGTATGTTTTCCAAGCAGGTGGCGAGCAGATCTTTTGATGGGTCAAGCCTTTCGGAATTGGTTGCTTGCCTTTGGAGCAATTCTGCGAGGAATTTTTCTGCGACCTTGAAACCGACCCCGCAGACCTGAATACGATGCTGGTGTTCTGAACGTAATGGTTCGCCTGCGGTGTAGCTGCCCACTTCGTTCTAGCAGTCGGGAGTTTGAGCGGTCCACCACAGCTTGTGCAGAGAACAGGTATGCCGGCAATGCACGGACGGATTAACTTGCTCGAGTGCTGGCTTCAAAGTGTACAGCAGCCTTCCTGACACCTGACACCTCACAAATGTCGCTTTGGATCCATGCTGGAACGAGCACGGAAAGACTGGACTTCCAGCTTACTTGCGGTTTGCATATTGCTCACTTGATTCGCTTCTCCGAGTCATCACAGCTCGCACCTTGGAGACTTCTGGTGGCACAGAATCCGACGAAACAGGATCCGTTGACCTGCAGCTGTTGACAGGTGTGAGGTTCTGCAGCAAGGAATGCGGAAGCTGGAGAAAGCACCTGGTGACTTGCGTTGCTCAAGACACCCTTGGAGGCCTGCAGGTGAGATGCCTCTGTCCACTTGTTCCACCTGTGTGTGTGTGTGTGAAGGTGGGTTCGTACTGTTGTGCAGGATCCCCATCTGCAACATGCCGACCACCGCCGAAAACGAGCTTCTGAGATGTTCGCTCAGAGTCTCCCCATTGCACGATCTTCAGAAGGAGCAGAAGAGGCAGCTAGGGGCTAGAAGTTCGCGAAGGCCTGATGGAACTGCTGCCAAGCTGCTAAGTGCGAAGGCTACAGGATGCCTTTGCTTTTGTCTTTCGTCCTGGTCACGAGATGCTAGCAGTAACTGCTGACCGGTTGGCGCACAACTCAAAAGCATCACGTGTCGACTTGGATCTGCAGGCTTGCTGCTGCGCTGCGCTTGTTATTAGATTCGTTGATGATGTAGTGTTTCGCGTGGGTCTCAAGAAGCGATCGCTAACTAGTAGAACTGTCACTTTGCATTTGTACATTATTTACTGTAAAGAAGGCAGCAACGAGCACCTTTTGAGAGCCTTCCAGAAGCATCACAATTCAGGTAGGTGGTATGCAAAACTGCTATATACTGCTAAACCATCGAAATCATCACCCTGGACGGTGGGCGGTCTTGCTGTTACGGAGTGTCCATGCATGCCATGGGCCATGGGTAAGAAGCCACATCGAAGCCAGAAGGTAAAGCGTCCACTCGTTCAGCCAAGACCTGCGACGCTGGGTCAGCGTGTGCGTGAACTTGGGCAGGACATTCACGGGGTGGATGATTCGGGGAGGGAGTACAGCAGCCTATCGGAACTCTGGCTTTTACAAGGACAGCAGCGCGACAAGTTCTACAAAGTAAACGAGAATTGGTGGGTCAAAGGCTACGAAGGACGCGTGTCTCTTGAAGGTACGATGATAGGTGATGAGGCAAGCCAAGAGGACGTGCAGCACTCACAAGATTTTCTTCGAAAGGCCGTAGAGGGCATGCTCGATGATCCTTGCTCGGCGTTGGACTGCGGTGCTGGCATTGGGAGGGTGACGAAGGCAGTGCTTCTACCTGCAGTGACAGGCTCCGTGACTTTAGTTGATCAGTCGGAGAGATGGCTGCAGACTGCGAAGAAGTACTTGGAACGCGAGGCAGATCGATGCCACTTCATCCAGTGTCGACTTGAAACATACCAGCCGTCCAGCAGCTTTGACATAATTTGGGTACAGTGGACCTTGCAGTATCTGACCGACGAAGATGTTGTTCACCTTCTGCACAACCTGTCAGCTGGATTGACATCCCAAGGAGTCATAGTTCTAAAGGAGAACAATATGTCGCAAGACTCGCTTTCGTTCCACATGGACACTCCAGGAAAAGAGGGCCGGTTTGATATGACACGATCACCCAAGCATTTGCATGTACTTGTTGAGCTGGCAGGATTACGGGTAACTCACATGGAACTCTGGGATGAGTGCAGCTGTTGGGTGCTTCGGTGCTTGTCGGAAGAGGTGCCCGAGCTTGCCCCGGATGGCCCAGACCAAGGACAGTAATCATCTTATGCATCTGTCATTCATTGCCTCGGCTAGCTCCGACGGACCCCGATGAATTGCCAGAAGGAAGCGGATCGCGATGCGTTATGTTCCCGAACATCTGCAAAGACGAAGCTCTGGCGTGGACGTGCAGTGGGCAATGTGGTCAGCCACGGAGCTGGCCCGACCAGGGTACCTGCACTAAGCAGCACTTGACCACTTGTGAGAAGCGCAAAGACGACAGAACACATCCGGTGTCGCCCTAAAGGCACTTCCTGCCCTGCTCCTACTCCTCCTATTCCTATTCTTACCACTCCTTCTCAACTCCTACGACTACGACGACGACGATGACGACGACGACTGCTACAACACCACCACCACCTCCTACTACTACTACTGCTGCTGCTGCTACTACTACTACTACTACTACTCCTACTCCTACTCCTACTCCTACTACTACTACTACTACTACTCCTGCTGCTGCTGCTGCTGCTACTACAGCTGCTACTACTGCTGCTACTACTA